AAAAAAAAAAAAAAAAAAAAAGACGCGTGACCTGGAGAATCGATCTATAACCTATAATCTACTAAAATATCTATGTATCCCGTTCGAAAAGCTTTGTGAGGGGTTTAGACCAATTTTGAAATAATAGAGTCTAATAGAGGGACTTCCGGAGATAAACAGAACACAAAGTAGCGCAAAAAATATGATACATAACTCAAAACCGAACCGCTACCCTTTAATGAGCTCATAAATTTAAATACCTCGTTCTAGTTCTTGAAAGTAGTTTTGCAGCTAAGCAAGAAAACGTTTCAATTACCGTCATTCCTTCATTTCATCCTAAATATAAATAGCATACCAAACTTTCAAACTCTAATACCAAAATTCATCAGAAGTTTAAAATTTTAAGAAAGAAGGCGTTGTACATATTGGTCCAGAAAGCAGCACTTCGTAGATCGACCGAGAAAATGATGGGAATAGAAGTCTCGTAGAACAGGTTGTCGCTATTGTTGAGGCTCATCTACCACAGCAGACTAAAGCTGCTTTGAAGGAACAACAAGAGTACTTAGTAATTATTACATTATTTATAATATTCTGGCGTTTTTAGCAACTTTGAAGTTTTTTTTCAGATGAAATCAAAAAAGTTAACAGTTTACTGGATAGCACTGAAGAAGATCTAGCTACGTCACCCGTTCATTAAGCAGAAGCAAAGTTACTAAATTACGCAGAAAAGTTATCTGTCCTATCTGGCGATCCTATACAACTATCACTGACTTTGAAAAAATAAGTCTAGAGCACGATTAAGAAAATTTATTGGCATTATATTATCGCAGCCTATGGAATATTTATTATGCAGTGCTGCTCGGGACAAATGTTGATTTTCTGAGATCTGAAAATTTCAGTAACTACTCCTTCACGTTCATGTGTAATAGGTATTTTAACTTCCGCACGAAGTAGAAACCCTAACTAAAAAGTGCTGACGACACTAGGTCGAAAGGTCCCTATGTAAAGCATCGCAAAAAGAATAAAGGATGGATCCTGCAATGACTACGACTACAAGGCATCTAAAAATCTATCACAATTACTTTTTTAAAAACCACTTTTCCACAGGTTTTAACGTTAACCCCTCGAAAAGCGCAAGAAAAACGAAAGATATATGCATAAAATATAATCGAAATGAAGAGGAAGCATGAACGGAGTTCAAAAAATTTCTACAAGTTCTATAAGTCTGCGCAGAACATGGTCAATGACTATTCTGAAACACATCATAGGTTAAATTGAAAAATTCAACTGAAAGTCACAAATTCCTGAAACACGTCTGAAAATACCATGTATTTCTTTTTATTTTTCCGTTACTGAATGAAAGCTAACGCATCTCAGTTTCCGCTTTTCAAAACAATTAAAAAACGCAAATGTAGTCTACCCGCCAGTTTACTAAGTTCGGCTAACGACTATATTTTCTTCAAGGCCGAATGACGCACCTTCAGGCTCGATAAAATGTATCAGATTGGCTCATTGCCAACGCTGGGCTTCTGCCAAAGAATTCTCATTCTTTGCGAATGCGTTTCCCACATGTCTGCCTCACTGTCGCAAAGAAATCTGCATCTGGCGAGATGCCACCTTGGCCCCAAAAGTTCAGGCTTGGCTCCAGTTGGAGCTTCTTCTTTAGGCGCTCGGAGTAACTGGCAGTGTGTGGCTCATGATGCCGAGATAAAAGTTTCTATTATTTTTGAAGAAAGTAGACTTTTTTGATCAATTTGAATCTTCTGCTTGAGTATTTGGACCCATTTTTGACTTCTTTTCCCTGCCGCCTTTACCATTTTGCAAGAGTATTTCCACATGTTTGTTTCATTGGGTTTATGGGACAAACTTTAAGACGCCTAGAAACGTACTACGTTGATTTATGATAACATTTAGTTTTTCGCAAAAACTGATGAAATCTTCTACTTTTCGAATTTAGAATTGAAAACTGTATCCCAGATTAATTTCGAAAAGGTACCAGATAATGCTGAGCAGTATTTTTTTAGGCTCTAAGACGTTTAGAAAATCTGAAACTCGAGTGTGAATAAAACTTGTTGAAGAGCATCCATTTGAATGTTCTAAAAGGCAAACAGCCGCTATTAAAAAAGAAAGTTAGTTTTTTTTTTTTTGAAAATTAGAGAAAGTTTTTACTACGAATTTGGAATGACCATGTCATGAATATTCCAAGTAACAGTGAGAGGTTCTGAGCTAAATACCTCTGACTCTCCAGACAACTTTGTTAAAAAAGTTTATTTTCAACGATATCGTATGGAAACTCGTTGGCATTTCTCTCGCGTTAAGTTTTTTTCTGTGGCGAGACCTGTAAGGAATTTCAGAAATAAAGCAGATAACTGAAATAATTTTTACTGTTTATGGATCGAGGAAGACGGCACCCAAAGAATTAGATCATAAAGCAGAAATTTTTTACAGTCGTCTCAACACGAAGTTATCTGGTGGTATTGGCGTCACGCCAGTGCTCTGATTTACCGTTAGAAATGTCGTCGCCTTTTTTGTTTCCACTTTTTTTTTTTTTTTTTTTGGGGGGGGGGGGGTGGGGGTTTTTAGACAGCATTTGACGTTGCCTTAACTACAAGTTTCGCTAGCTAAGATTGTAATTTGTATCTTTTAACTTCTGGTGTTTTTGTCCGAGGTTGCTGCGCTTGTTGCAGATAAATTTATGGAGTGGATTTTTTGAAGCAAATCACAGTTGAATGTTCTTCGCACTCGATAGTGATACTTTCTTTGTCTAAAATTACTCTCTTTCAAAATTGGCCATTGTATTTTTACAGGACGTGTAGACCCGATAGGTT